ATATTAAGATTTAGATTTTTTTTGTTATATATTTTATAATGCTAGAATTTAGAAATTTTCAAATTTAGTGTTTAATGTGTTAAGATTTATATTTTCAAGGTATAAGGTTTAATATTTAAAAATTTAGATGTTTAGCAATTTAAAAATTAAAATTATAAGACCAAGAGTTAAAATTTTAAATTTTAGATTTAAGAAGCAAAAATAAAAATGCTATAGGGACCAATCGGCTTGGAGACCGATTGGTCCCTATGGCATTAGCCCGAAAAAAATACAGATGGATGAAGACAAAATTTATGAAGGGTTGATGTCTCAGCCATTAGATTATTAAAATGAGGTTAACTAGGAATGAATGTTCCAAAACAAGGCAAACATTTTATAGGCATTAGTTTCAATTTTCAATGGTAGCACATATTAATAATAATAATGTGACAAACTGTTGGTGGTCTGGTCATGGAAACTTAGGCGTGCAGAAACAACGTGGTTTGCTGTGCTTTGGTGGGATGAAAATGGTGTTTGAGTGAAATCAAAGCCATGGAAATTAATTAATTTAGATTACTAAGTTACTTGCAACTTAAAAAAAAAACGCAATAAAGTGATGGGTACGAGTCTAGGAGACCCTTTATTCATAAGGAACAGGGACGAACATGTTCGTGCCTTAGAAAATGCCAATAATTCAGCACCAAGAGAAGTTGGTGCAAAAGCTTCTAGTGTACTTTTTTTTTTTTTTTGAAAAGCAAAAGCTTCTAGTGTACTTTCTGTTTTTTTTGAAAAGCAAAAGCTTCTAGGTGTACTACAATAGGGCTGTGGGAATGAGAGAGATGTTTTAACTTTAACAAGCAAACTGAAGATGGTCACTTTCATTTCTACTCGGATGGATTTCAGAGAAATTCCAATTTAGAATTATAGTGATGAGAGTTCGGAAAAATGAACAGAAAGATAGGATTAAAGAGATGAACTTAATACCTGATCACGAACATAAGCTAATCAAAAAGTAATTAAAGTGTTATGCAACAGTAATACAAAGCAACCTCAAATAATAGATTCACTAGTAAGTAAGTGTTGTTTTATAAGATAAATCCATGATTCAAGTATTGAGATTGTATTTAAAAAAATTAATTTTTCTGAAAATATAATTTCGAAGTGTGCAAAAATTAGTTCCAAAACTGGCCATAAATTAAAAAACAGTAATATAAAGCGAAGAAAATGATGTTTTTAACTCCGTCCTTAAAAATATCAACTTGGGGTGAGAAATGTAAAAATATCATTAATATATTTTTGTACATTTTTTATTTATTAAATATATATTTATCTTTTCAACTTGGACTAATGTTTTTAAATGCAAGGTAGACTAAAAAAAATATTTTTTGTGAATAAAATCTTCACTTTTTAAAGTCCGTCTACTATGTTAGTAGTTTTTGGTTTTAGTTTTTAAATTTTAAATAATTAAAAATAAAAATTTAAACTAAAATTAAAAATTAAAATTATCAACTTATTAAATATAATTTTTTAAAAAAAAATCCAAAACTCTAAATTTAATTAATTTATAAAAAAAATTTAATTTTATTCTAAAATTTTAAAAATTTTAAAAACTGAAATAAAAAACTCAAAATTTCGATCATAGTAAACCAATTAAACCTTAGTCTTTGAAGAACAACTAGAAGAGATCTAAACAAACACCGAGGGATTATTAATTGATAAATAAGTATTGTTTTATAAATCAATTTCAAGTTTCGAGTTTTGAGCTTAATATTAAATAAATTAATTTTTAAAATACACTAAAAAATTATTAATTATTTGGTGCATGAAAATTGGTTTTGAGACACTCTCACAATAAATAATAATAATAATAATAATAATAATAATAATAATAAAAAAGAAGGAAGATCTAAACAACAAGCATTTTTTAACTCTGCATTTATGGAACTGTTGTTCTTCTTGGGACTCAGCTAGGGGTCGGCTGGGAGGGCTAAACTTCTGAAAAAAATTTAATGATACAATAAAATTTTGAAAAACTCAATGATAAATTTCACTGCCAATTCTCATTGTTTCATTTATGACCTTTATTTTTTTTTCTTACCTATCATTTATATTAGGGGGAAAGGTATATCAGTGTTAACTTTTGAAAAAATTAATTTTTTAAAAAATATTATTATTTAATAAATATTTTAAAAATTAATAATTACGTTTAATGTTATACTGATATAGATTCTGTATGTCAAATTTTTTTAGTTGATTTAATATCTATAATATTTGATAAAAAAAAACTTGTATTTTTTAATATGTATTTAACAATAGTAAATATTCTATAATTAATAAACTAATTATATATATTTAATTAACTTGAAAATTCATATAAATAATTCATATGAATAAAATATTAAATATAATAGTTGACTTTTTAAAAATATTTATTAAAAGGTGATATTTTTTTAATTAAGACTTTAAATTTTTTTAATTAGAACTGAAATGCATTACTCTCTTAATATTAATCCTAACTTTCATGGTAATAATGACCATTGCTCCATACTATTAATCATTAATCTTGTTCATTAGCTAAGCAAAGTTTTAACTTTTAAGTCAAGTAATTAAGGCTTTCCTTGAAAACAATTCTCGGTATTTTGCCTTTTAGTTTTTACACTTTTTTATTATTTTTTAAAAAAATATAAAATATTAATTAAAATAAATATTACATATATGAAATATATTTTATATATTTTTGGGATGTTAAAATATAAAAAAATTACAACTATAGTCATAGGTTAGTATTATCAAATAAAGCCTAAGAATTTAAAGGTTGAGAACTCATAACTTGATTGTGAATTTGACTCCTTTACATATGGTTTTCTCCTCTTTTTTTTTCTTGTTTTTTTCTAAAAAAAGAATTTATTTGAATTGTCCATAGTTAATCTATACCATATACATTCCCAAAATTTTGGAATTTAAACCTACAGAACAAAGCCTAGCCTCTCCCTCCCTTTTCTCACTATGGTTTTCTCCTCTTTTTTTTTTCTTTTTTTTTTTTTCTAAAAAAAGAATTTATTTGAATTGTCCATAGTTAATCTATACCATATACATTTATACTATCTTTGTATTTCGTATAAAAAATTTCGATCATTAAATTCAATTTCTGCCATTATGGTTTTGTGACATCAATAGAGCTTTTCTCTTTTCCCTTCTCTCTCTCTCTCTTTTTTTAATAAAACATTTTCCCATCACCTTTTTTTTAAAGGCAAATTTCTTCCTCACCTGAATTTGTGACTCTCATTTTTGTCCATTGCTGTTACTTTTCTGATTATTATGTTATGATTTGTAATATCTCTTTTCCTTTTAATAATAGGTTAAATTTTCAATTTGGTTCCTTAATTATTGTTCAGATTTTTGAGTTGGTTTCCAAAAAAAAAAAAAAAAAATCTTTAGTTTGGTTTTTAAAATTTCTAAATTTAATTATAAGTTGGTTCCTCTATTAAAGAATAGTTAATGTATCCATTCCTTAACAGTAGAAGGTCATTATTTAATGACCACATGTTGTGTCGGAATGGGATATATAAATTATTTTTTAATAAAAGATCTAGTTTGGAACTAAATTTAAAAACTTTAGAGACCAAATTGAGAATTCTTTTCAATTTAAAAACTAATTCAAAGGTCTATAAAATAGTTCAAAAATCAAGTTAGGGATTTAACCTTAATAATATGATTTTTATTTTTATGATAAAAAGAACCTTTAGCTTGAGAATCGATGTTTTAAAGGTCAAAATTGCTTTTAAAAGTTAGATTTAACACCCTGAAAGAAAGTAAAGGCGGCCAAAGAAAAAAGAGACGAGCAATTGTCTTATACTCTCAGTTTTGGGCTATAATTAAGTCCCGCTGCATTACGTAATGTCTTCATTAGCAGGCAAAGCCAATTGTTTGTTAGTCAAATTCATTGTCTAATAACATTCCTTAAACAAATGTTAGGCACATAGGCTTAGGCTGACAAACATGACTTACAAAAAGTTCTCACAAACTAATGTAACAATTAAAAGCTTGAATTTCTATGAG